ATGATTTCTAGTTGTGAATTTATTTTGGCATTTTGTTCCTGTATTATTTTCCTGAATTCTTCCAATTTTTTTGTCTGTATTTTCCATGAATTTGTCTGCCTTTTCCATGAATTTGTCTATTTTTTCCTCATTTTTGTCTGCTTTTTGCTTCAACTTTTGGATAGCTCTGAATATTAGAGAATTTGAATTCCCTATCAGGTAGTCTAGTGCCTTTTCTTCTACTGGAAAGTCATCTGCTGTTTTATTTTGGATGCCTACTGGAACCATCCTGTCCTGTTTTTGTAAATGTTTTGATATTGTCAGCTGTCTTTGGGGCATTTGGTAGTTATTTTCCTTGTTTATTGATTGTAGATTTGTTTGTTTCATCTGCTATTTTGTTTTATTTGGCTATGTCTGAGCAGGCAGGCTGTGTGTTCTTTGTTGTTTGCTCATCTGTGGGCACGGTACTTTTCGCCTCCTTCTCCAATTGGCTGGGTCAGTTGTCTCAGATACCGTACATCAGGGCAGGTCTAGCTGTAGAGGAGTTGCTGAGATGGGTTGTTTGTGGCACGTACTACAGCCAACAGGGCGGGCTGGGAATCAGTGCAGGGGTTCCAGTAGGCTGTGCCTGTGCTGCTTGGGAGTGTGATGTTCAGTGCACAGTGCAAGTAGGCAGGATGGAGCAGGGAGAGTGTGATGTGTGGAGCTAAGATGGATATGTGAAAGAGGAGAGAGAGGAGAGAGGAATAGCAGCTAAAAACATACAAACAAACAAAAAAGTACTAAGGGAGCTTGCCATTGGAGTGGAGAGATGAGAGACTGAGAAATGGAGAAAAACAAAAACGAGAAGAAGAAAAGAAAAAAAAGAATAAATAAAAATTACAAAGGAAAAAGAAAAGCTCCCAGGGATCCTACCGGTGCAGCTGTGAGGTCTGGGGAAGTTGCTCCCAGGCCGTGAGGTACAGTCTGGCTAGAAGGGGTAGAGGTGTTACTCAGCGCCAGGTATTCAGGAGACAGGAAGAGAAGGTAAGTATAGCAAAATGAGAAACTGAGTAATGAAGAAAGACAAAAAGTGAAAAAGAGAGAAGAAAACAAATCAAACAGATAAAAAAAAGAACAAGAAAACCCCCATAAAAACAGGAAAAAAAAAAACCAAGAAACAAGAAATGCCTTCAGGGATCCCTCTGCGCACCTGTGCAAACAGAGGGGGTAGGTTCCAAGCCGCGCAGTACTGCCCGGCTAGAATGGGCTGCCAGTTCGTGAAAAGAAAAAGAAAACAAACAATTCAAAACCAACAAACAAAAAGCCCCGGGATCCTGCCAGCATGGCTGCACGGGCCGGGAAGCAGTTTCACATTTGAGCAGCATTTCACAGCCTTTCAGGAAGACGCTAAGGTGGTGCGCAGAGCCAGGTATTTGAGAGAAAGGAGGGAGAGGTAGTGAGAGGCATGGAAGAAATCAAAAGAAGTGGAAAAAAGCAACACCAGCAGCCAACAAATGGCACTCAGGGAGCCGGCCAGTGCAGGCAGGTGGAATCCAAGCAGCGCTGGGGTAAAGCTTGTGCTTCCTGGCCAAGAGACTGTCGACTCAGGAAGCAGAGGAGGCCAAGTGGGGGTGAAGAAGGGTGGGGGGTGGGAAAGCATATATCGCTGATTACCAGTTGTTCTGTCTCCTGCTGGAAGCTCCATGAAGCTGCTTTCCCATACGCCCTGTTCACCCATCTCCAATAGGAGTCCAAGATGGTGGGTCCGTGCCACATTAGCTGATAGGGGACCTCTGCATGTATCTCTCCTCACTCTCTGTTCTCTGTCAGTTTCTTTTTCCATTTGGTGCTTGGCTAAGTTCTTTATCTCTTCATTTGATGCTTAGGATTTCAGGATTGCCATTTTCTCTGTTTGACTCAGTTTTTCGGATCTTTGCTGTGGAGGGATGGCGTGGTGCTTCTGTCTATAGCGCCATGTTGCCCAGAAGAGGCCAGTCATTAATTTTTTAATGAATGAACTGAAGCAACCTATCAGAGAAGGCCTACTTCTCACAATCTTAACTTGCATTTTGCTATGTTTATTTTAGGATTCTGGGTTTTGGTGTATATCCTCTGCCGTGCTACTTTGACTTTAGGAATCATAAGCATTTAACTACATTACTGAGATGTACACTGAAAATTAAGTCTATTGAATCCATGACAAAGATAGGCATAATGCCTACCATGTGTGCTGCCATTTTTTCTTTCTGCTGCTGGTACAAATTACCCTCTTCCAGAGTCCAGACAAGGGAGAGAAGCTTCTCTGTTCCTAGGACAACTACTGTCAGTCAAGTGGTAAAGAAGGGATTTTTTTCCCCCCATTCCAGACCTGGACCATTCACAGACCAGCTTTCTGCAATCTTTAGGTTTCAGAGATAATCTCAATTTAGGCAGATCTCAGCCACAAAGGAACACTTACGAAAAGAGCCCAAGACCTGAAACATGATGGGCTTATGAATAAATATGCCCCTGTTGACAGGAGATGTCTTTAAAAGAACAGCCTTTTCTTATGAAAGTCACAAGTGTGGAAACACAAGACACATTGTTTCAAAGAGATAGAGAATGGTAACTCAGGAGTAAGAAGAGATTGTATTGGAAGTGGCAGCAAACAGCCCACACTAAAATGGAGAATAAAGCAGGGAATGAAGGGATGTGACCAAACAGCTTTTCTGAGAGTCCAAACAGCCCTGGAGATCCCTGTTATCCCAGGGGTATCACAAAGCTACACATTAGTGGTGAATAACATATGTCAACTGAGGGACCATGAACCAATAAACTTTCTCTGGGAAGTGTGGTTAGTATTTGAGAACATTTCTATCCAGTCTAATGTGATCTCACTGATTAAACCATAGTATTATTTGAGATCATGTTTTTGAGAAAGTTGTCTTGGTAATGCTAAAAATCAGGAGTTAATCGTTACCGGTGATTTTTTAAATACTACCACCTCTCCCTTCCCCACCAAAAACAAAACAAAAAAACCCATAAAGTCATGAAAAGATGAGGGGTGTTTCTCCTTCACATTCCATAAAAAATTTTAGTAGCATCGTGCCTGATGTTTTTAATGGTGCTTTCAAGCCAGAGAACACTGCTGTGTGGAAAACTCAGCTAGGCAAAACAATTCATATCTCAACGACCCAGGTATTCAAATTTTACTGTATTGGTACATTAAAAACTATTTTGAAAAAAAATTCTCTCACAAGAAAAAATATTTAATTATTATATTTGCCAAGAATGTCTGAATTACTTATAATAATGATGCCTTTGTTTAAACTATATACTGCACTATTGCATGAAAATTGAAAGACCTATTTCTCCTCTTATCCTGAGCATTGTGAGAAGTTGGTAGTATACCTTTGAAAATCACCTCTTTCAGATTTCTGCAGTGTCTTATCTTCTACTGGAGATGGATTATTATAGTTTTCTACTCAGTATTTCAACTAGGTTCTTGCTGGAATAAAGGACTCTTGAACCACCTTTAGAAGAATAAGTAGGAGTTAGTTGAGCACAGAATAGGACTAGGGGAAGAACATTTTGACTGAGACGACAGCATGTGGAAAGGCATGAAGGCAAGAGAGTGCTGTTCATTCAAAAAGCTGCAGATAATTCAGGCTAGAACGTAGGATTAGGAGATGACCAATTCTGTGTAGCTTCAAAATACAAAAATCTAGAATTAATAGGTAAAAGTTAATAGGAAATTCATAGGAATAGCTTAATGATAATTTGTAGGTTTTCAAAATGAAATGGACACCCCAAGATCAAGTGACATTTACCCTGGGAATGCAAGACTGATTAAATATTCAAAAATCAATCAATGTAATCTACCGTATTAACAGTGTAAAGAAGAAAAACACATGATTATATCAATAAATGGAAAAAAGAAGCTTTTGGCAAAATACAGTATCCTCTCATGATAAAAACTCTGAGCAAACTAGAAATGGAGGGAACTTCCTCAACCTGATAGAGCATCTACGGATAACCTAAGGCTAACAACATACTCCGTGGTGAAAAGACTGAATGCATTCTCTTAAGATCGGGAACAAGGCAAGGATATCCACTTTCACCACTCCTATTCAGCATAGTACTAAAAGTCTTAGCACATTAGGGTAAGAAATGAAAATAAAAAGCATATGGATCATAAAGGAAAAATAAAACTCAGTTCATACACAGCAAGAAAAATGTGTCTTAAAAAGTTATTCAGTTCATTTCAGTAGTTTTGAGCAAAACATACAGAGCAGTCCAAGGAATTCAAAAAGCTTTCATAGTAGAAAAGGAAAAGCTTAACAAGAAATTTCCTTATCAGGCCAGTGAGTTTCACATGACTTTTTATTGCCGCTGTACTATATAAAGTAAATTCACTTTAAAGGAACCTCTTGTTTCTAACTAGTTTATTGTTCAACATATTACATAGTTCAGCTTTCACTTTGAGTAAATTTCAAACTGTTTAAAATATAATTTTTGTTTTCATATTTGTAAAATACAATTTCACTATAAGAGTTATTTATTATATATTTTTTAACTTATATTTTGCAGGATGGAGGTTTGCTTCTAAATAACCCTTCAGCATTAGCAATGCATGAGTGTAAATGTCTTTGGCCAGACGTCCCATTACAGTGCATCGTATCCTTGGGCACTGGACGTTATGAGAGTGATGTGAGAAACACTGTGATGCACACAAGCTTGAAAACCAAACTGTCTCATGTTATCAACAGTGCTACAGATACAGAAGGTTAGTCTGTTTGTTTGTTTACTATCTTAAAGCACTTCAGCTTCTAGAATTTGGTTTTTGGTAGAATATGCTGATCATAACTTTAAAAGAGTACATGTCATGCCTATATTGTGGATTTAGGAAGCACAGGGGAGCCTCTCTTTTCTTGTTTTCCTTTCTTCTCACCCATTTCTCGTTAAGTCACTTTAGAGTAGAGACTGTTCTCCATCTGGGAGCTAGTGCTATCTTTAACTACTTACAGTTGGAGAAGTATCTAAAATAGGGATAGCACAAAGGCTTGAAGACTCAAGACAGTAACAGGGAAAAGCAACAAAAGGACTTGTGTTGGTTTGGATATACACATGGTAACAGTGAGAATTAGCATGCTTATGGAAGCAAACTGGAATTAGAATAAATCTTTACTTATACTCTTGCCCCCTCTATAGTCTCCATACAAAGCCCAAAGTAATCCTTTTAAAATGTAAATTAAATCATGCCTTTCCCCTGCTGGAAGCCCTCTAGGCTTACCATCACCCTTAGAACAAAATCCAAAAGCCTCAGATACTGTGTCTAGCCACACCTTAATTCTTGCTGTTCCTCAGACTTGCTAAGCATTCTTCTACCTCAAGGCCTCTGCAGTTGCTATACCCTTCATTTGTAAGGCTCTTCTTCCAGTACATAGTTGACCCATTCCCTTACTTTATTCAGGTTTCTGTTCAAATGTTACTTCTTTACTTTAAATGCAATTTAAAGGCACCACATCTTTTTAAAACAAAAGTAATAATAATATATTGTGAGATTTATATTATATGTTGAAATGTATGGCAGTGATAGCACAAAGGATAGGAAGGTAGAAATAGAAGTATCTTGTTGTATTTGAAGGTAGATTGTGATAAGTTAAAGATGTATATTACAAGCTCTATAGAGCAACCACTAAGTGAAAAGGGAGAGGGGGGCATAACTAATAAGCCAATAATGGAGATAAAATGGAATGCAAAAAATAATTTAAAAAAAAAATCCAAAAGATGGCAGAAATAAGAAAACAAAGAGCAAGTGGGAAAAAAGAGGGAAAAAAAAGCAAGATGGCAAATTTAAACTCAATCGTTTTGATAATCACATTAAAAGCAAGTAATGTAAACACTCCAGATAGAAAGCAGTGTTCATCAGGCCATAAAAGCAAGACCCAGCTATATGCTAGTTTATAAGAAACCTACTTAAACTATAAAAGTACAGATAGGCTAAAAGTAAAAGAATATAAATATGAATTTTAAAAAAAAGCTGGTGTGGCCATATTAATAACAGACAAAGTAGAATTCAGAGAAAAGAATATTATTGTCAATAAAGAGACATTTCATAATGATAGAGAATATAGCAGTCCCAATCCACATGATAATAGAGCTTCAATATGCATAAAGCAAAAACTTACAGAAAAAATGAAGAATAGGCAAATCCATAATTATAATAGGAAATTTCAGCACCCCTCTCTCAGTAATTTATAGGACAAATAGAAAATCTGTAAGGATATGAAGACTTGAACAAACACCATCAACCAACTTAGCCAAATTAACATTTATAGAACATTCCATCTGACAACAGCAGAATATATATTCTTTCCAAGTGCACATAGAACAGTTGCCAAGATAGACCATATTGTGTGATATAAAACAAGTGTCAGTAAACTCAGAATGATTGAAAATTATACAAACTAAGTTCTCTGAGCACAACAGAATGAAATTAAAAATAATTAACAGAAAGATAGCTAGGAGATTCTCAAATATTTGAAAATTAAACAACACAATTCTAAATAATCCTTGGGTCAAAGAAGAAATTACAAGAGAAATTTTTAAAATATCTGGAACTGAATGAAAATAAAAATACAACATATCAAAATTTGTGGTACATAGTAAAAGCAGTAATTAGAAATTTATAACATTAAACACATATTAGAAGTCTGTGTCTTAAATCAATGACCTAAGCTTCCACCCTATAGAAAAAGAAGAGCAAATTAAACCCAAAGCAAGCAGAAGAGGTGAAATAATAAAGATAAGAACAGAAATCAATGAAATAGAAAACAGAAAAACAATAGGAAAAAACTAATGAAACTAAAAGCTGATTCCTTAAACTCAATAAAATTGATGAACTTGTAGCAAACCATTCAAGAAATAAAAGAGAGAAGACAAATTACCAATATCAGGTATGAGAGGACAATTACCACAGATCCTAAGGACATTAAAAGGCTAAAAAGGGGGTATTATGAATAGCTTTATGCCAATAAACGGGACAAATTAGATGAAATGGACAAATTCCTTAAAAGACAAACTGCCAGCACTTACTCAAAAAAGCTAAGAAATAGAGAACCTAAATAGCTCTATACCAGTTAAAGGAATTAAATTTGTAGTTAAAAAACTTTCATGTAGAGAGATCTCCAGATCCAGATGACTTTACTGGTGAATTCTGCCAAACACTTAGGGGAAAATAATACTGATTCCACACATAAACACTTCCAAAAAACAGAAAAGATGAGACTGCATCCTAGCTCATTCTATAAGGCCAGCATTACCCTTATAGTAAAACCAGACAAAAACATTATAAAAATGAGAAGACTATCAACCATTATTCCCAATTAATATACTTGCAGAAATCCTTAAAAATAAATTAATAAATTGAATTTGGGAACCTACAAAAAGGATAATACAATATGACCAAGTAGAATTCATCCAGGAATAAGAGGTTGGTTTAACAATAAGAAATCAATGATAATGATAAATCCAGTCAGCATCTAATCTCTAAAATCTACAAGATACTGCAAAACCTCAACAACAAAAACACAAATAACCCAGTTAAAAAATGGGCAAAGGATATGAACAGGCACTTCGCCAAAGAAGATATTCAGGCGGCTAACGGACACATGAAGAAATGCTCACAATCATTAGCCATTAGAGAAATGCAGATCAAAACTACAGTGAGATATCATCTCACCCCAACAAGGCTAGCATTAATCCAAAAAACACAAAATAATCAATGTTGGAGAGGTTGTGGAGAGACTGGAACACTTACACACTTGGTGGGAATGTAAAATGGTACAACCACTTTGGAAATCAATTTGGCACTTCCTTAAAAAGCTAGAAATAGAAGTACCATGTGATCCAGCAATCCCACTGCTTGGAATATATCCTAGAGAAATAAGAGCCGTCACATGAATAGATATATGCACACTCATGTTCATTGCAGCACTGTTCACAATAGCAAAAAGATGGAAATAACCTAGGTGCCCATCAGCGGAAGAATGGATAAACAAATTATGGTATAGCCACACAATGGAATACTATGCAACGATAAAGAACAATGATGAAGCTGTGAAACATCTTATAAAATGGAGGAATCTGGAGGACATTATGCTCAGTGAATTTAGTCAGTCACAGAAGGACAAATATTGCATAAGACCGCTATTATAAAAATTCAAGAAAAGGTTTAAACACAGAAGAAAACATTCTTTGATGGTTACAAGGGTGGGGAGGGTGGCTGAAGGTTATTTACTAACTAGATAGTAGATAAGAATTATTTTAGGTGAAGGGAAGGACAGCACACAGTACAGGAGAAGTCAGCACAACTGGGCTAAACCAAAGCTAAGAAGTTTCCTAGATACAGTCAAACACTTTGAGGGACACAGTAGCAGGGGTGGGGGTCTGGGAACCATGCTTTCAGAGGACATCTAGGTCAATTGGCATAACAAAGTTTATTAAGAAAACATTCTGCGTCTACTTTGGTAAGTGGCATCTAGGGTCTTAAAAGCTTGCAAGCAGCCATCTAAGATGCATCAATTGGTCCCAACCACCTGGAGTAAAGGAGAGTGAAGAACACCAAAGACACAAGGAAAGTAATAGCCCAAGAAATAGAAAGGGCCACATAAACCAGAGACTTCATCAGCCTGAGACCAGAAGAACTAGATGGTGCCTGGCTACCACCAATGACCGCCCTGACAGGGAACACAACAGAGAGTCCCTGATGGAGCAGGAGAAAGGTGAGGTGCAGAACTCAAATTCTAGTAAAAAGACCAGACTTAATGGTCTGACTGAGACTGGAGGAACCCTGGAAAGCATGGCCCCCAGATTCTCTATAAGCCCAGATCTAAAATAATTTCCAAGGCTAACTGTTCAGACAGGGATTGGACTGGACTGTGGGACATAAAATGGTATTCGTGAAGAGTATGTTTCTTAGCTCAAGTAGATACATGAGACTAAATGGGCAGCTTCTGTCCAGAGGTGAGATGAGAAGATAGGGTTAGGAGCTGGTTGAGTGAACATGGGAAATCAGGGCTGGAAAGGAGGAGTGTGCTGTCACAGTATAGGGACAGCAATTAGGGTCACATAACAATGTATATATAAATTTTTGTATAAGAGACTAACTTGAAATATAAACTTTCACTAAACTGCAACAATAAACAAAAATAAAGAAATCAATGATAAAAAGAGCATCTTCAAAAACAAACGAACTAGAGCTAGTATCATGCATAATGGTGAAAGACTGAATGGTTTCCACTTAAGATCAGAAACAGAGTAAGATGTCTGCTGTCACCACTTCCAGACGAGATTGTACTGGAGGTCCTTTTGTGCGGAAAGACAATAAAAGTAAATTAAAGGCATATAGATTAGAAAGGAAGAAGTAAAACTATTTATAGACAACAGTGGTGCTTTATGTTGACAGTCCTAAGGAATCTAAGAAAAAGCTAACTAGGACTGATGAGCTTAGCAAATTGAAGAATGCAAAGTCAGCACACAAAAATCAGTTGTATTTTTTACATACCATCAGTGAACAATTGAAAATTGAAATTATATGTGTGTACGTGTGTGTGTAAAACCCTATGGAAAACCAGTTGCCATTGAGTTGGTCCGACTCATGGTTGACCCCACGTGTGTCAGAGTAGAACTGTGCTCCATAGGGTTTTCAATGGCTGATTTTTTGGAAGTAGATTGCCAGGCTTTTCTTCCAGGGTGCCTCTGGGTGGATTCAAACCACCAACCTTTTAAGTTAGTAGCTGAGCACATTAACTGTTTGCACCACCCAGGGACCCTGAAAACCCTATGGAACACACTTCTTCTGTGACACACAGGTTTGCCATGAGTCAGAATCAACTGGACAGCAACTGATATCTATGTGGCAGATTATATACTTAAAATTAGTGACTTTTTAAAAATATAAATTATACCTCAATAAAGTTGATCCCCCAAAAATTAAAAACAAAAAAAGTTGGGGAGCCATGTCACCAGTGCAGACAGTATGACCAAAAGCATGGTCATACTAAGGTAGCAGAATTATATGAAGTATTTTGTAGTAGTATTCATTATTATTGATTCCTTACTCATACTGTTAATTAGTTTGAGTGATGAAGTAATCAAGACTTTGTAATTTGCCCCCCAAAAAGATAATTTTAAATAAAGATAAAATTAATAGATCATTGCAGAATAACTCAATTTTCTTATCCACCTCATCCCCTTTTTTGTTTGTTTTAACAGAAGTCCATATAATGCTTGATGGTTTATTACCTCCTAACACCTACTTTAGATTCAATCCTGTAATGTGTGAAAACATACCTCTAGATGAAAGTCGAAATGAAAAGCTAGATCAGCTGCAGTTGGAAGGGTTGAAGTACATAGAAAGAAATGAAGAAAAAATGAAAAAAGCTGCAAAAATATTAAGTCAAGAAAAAACAACTCTACAGAAAATTAATGATTGGATAAAACTGAAATCCGACATGTATGAAGGCCTTCCATTCTTTTCAAAATTGTGACAAATATATGCATGTGCTCTCATGAATGAAAACGTGCTCCCAGAAGATCAGTTAAGAAATTGTGGGATTCAGCATGAGTTACCTCTGAAATACTTATGAATTATGGGGAATCCTGGGAAAAGATGGTGCTTGGACCAGCTTCCACAGTCCAGCGGGTATGCTTGGTTACAGAGTGCTTATGGGAATTAGATTTTTATGATATTAATAGTTCCCTGAGCTTTAGGAATCCTACTGTTGTGCTAGTTAGTTTTAGTAGATATTAGTGTTACATTGTTTGATGTTTAAAAATTTATTAATATATATGCCAAACAATAAACTGAAAACTATCATACTATATTTGGTATTTTTGCTTTACTCACCATAATCATGTGGTTTTATTTGATCATTGATTTTCTGTGGAAAAGTTAATATCTTCTCAAATTTACATTACTTACATTTTCACTATCTACGTTCTGCAGTCCACATGCTGCCTCTTACTGCCATGTCATCTACAAAAATGCATAAAAATGGAATTTTCTCTATCGGAGTACTTTTACATTTGAGATATGAAAGAACCAGATTCACTTTTCTATTCAAAATTTGCTTATTTCAACGTTGTTTGGTTTTAAAAAAATACGTAAAGTTCCAAACCCACCACTTTTTCTCCTGGAATGTCAAGATGATAGTGCATGTTAACATTTCTGGGTCTAGCTCTAGCTCATCATTCACTGTTATAAAAGCGTTGGGATTTACTGAGAAAGTGTTCCTAGCATTAACAAAAATAAAATGTGGAAATCTTTTGTTAAAAGGCTAATGTGTTTTTTTAAAAATTATAGTTCATAATGTAACTCCCCATTTATTTGTGGCATTCGTATACACCTGTCAGCAGTATAATTAAAAGAAAATGTTGGGCTTATTTTACCTCATTAACTCCTTTAACCTGCATTTCACAGAGGTTAATACTTAATGCATCAACCTGAATCATTATTCATACCGACCAAATTCATCTTCGTTTTGTTATCTCTCCGTTTGTCATGTAAATGCTTACATCATGTTTAGATTTATCAGGAAAAATGAAGACAAAAGGCCCTTTTATTTATAGTTTCATATAAACTAAAGCTATAAACCCTGTTGCCCAAATTGTTGTAAACTCCTTTGCGATGTTGATCCATAGAGACAGTGAGGTATGGTTCAGAGTGTGCTGGAAGTTGTTGGAGAGTCTAGATGCTATTCCTGGCTCCGCTGCAAAGTCCTATGTTTGTGATCTTGAGGAAGGTGGGCAGCCTCTCTGGGCTTCAGGTATTTCATTTGTAAAACAAGGAAAGCTAGCTCTCACATTTTACTTCTCTTTTATGGCAACCCAAAAGGTACATTCTGCAAATGTACAAAAAAAAAACTGAATGAAAGAGATGTGAAAATGAAGAGTCCTATACAGGTAAAATATCTGCCCTTTTCAAAGAAACAGAGGAAAAACACTATTTTTTAAACAAAATGTAATTCTCTAACTTACCATTTATATAAAAAATATATAGAATAAGAATTATTTTGATGCTCAGGCCTTGAGTGTCTCAGAATTTTTATTTCTATAATAAATAGTATACTGGCAGTATTTCAGTTCCATTTTTGCTGCAGATATTGTTGTTTATTAAAAATAGTACCTCAGATGGAGTCGTCCCTAGAGGCACACAGGCTGGATGGGATTTCCTCAAGTAGGTGGTGAGAGCTGGTCCAGGTTATAATTACACTGGGTACTTCTTCCCCTCCCACACCACGTTTTTCTAGGAGAAAGTAGATGTCAAAAGAATCTTGAGAGGGAAGGAAGTCAGAAAAGGTCAGCGTTCAGTCTGAGGGGATAGAGGGAAATCTTACAACTCTGTTTCCCTTTGGGCTTCATCAATCCCAGCAGCTAATGGCAGCCGCCTTCCCTTTTCACCTACTACAGAGCTGCCAATCACTGAAGTAGCTAGGAGCCCTGAAGTTCAAAAAGCTCGAAATTTTACCTAATCTACTGTGTCCCAGAGATAGTTCTCATCATATTTGACTATTTCACATGCATCAGTGCCAGTAATGTGACTAAAAACATAGACTGTAACATCCAAATTACAGTGTTTAGACACATTGTAAGTAAATATGAAGCTATTAATGATTTCTAAAGAAATTGTAAAATAGTCCTTTCATTCAGTCCACAGCTATATATATTTATATTCAGCTAGAACAGTGTTATAAATGTAAGAAAAATGCAAATAATTGGAAATCAGAATATTCCTAAGTATTGTTTGTAATAAAGCAAATTCCAACCACAATAAAATATTTGTGAAATTTACATAAGATCACTCTTGTCCTAACATGATACAGTTCATCTGTTTACAGCTGATGTTAACTCTCTGCCCCCTTTTTTAAACTTGGTCCATAGTTTTCTTCTTCAACAGTATAGTACACAAGCGTACTTAGGCCAGCCTTAAACCACATAGCATGGTGTAAGTACGTGCCCACATCCCCATTCCTGTTTCTTCAGCTCTTTCTCTCCAGTAAGATACACCCAGTTGTGTGGTGCACCAGTTTCTAAGCTTGTCCCCATTTGTACTTGAAGCTGATTATCTGAGGAACTGCGTACTTCACCTGAGATAACCCTCACTTTATAATGAAGCTAGTACTTTGTATAAAAGTAGAGTGGATTTCTTTTCAGGAAGGAACAGAAGTAGAGAACACTCTTCTTAAAGAAGAAGAGCACTTGCTATCAGGGTAGGTTATGGATTCTCCTTTTTATTACAGCTCACTTTGAGTAAATAAAGTTGATTAAATTGTGGTTCCACTATACATTAAGGGAAATTTTATAGCTATTGTAGTAGGGAAAGACAAATGTGTTTTGCCAAGTACTTTCATATCTATGGAGGAAACATGAATATTTTTATGATTGCTAATAGCTAATGTCTAACACTTATATGCCAAGCACAATACTAAATATATTTGGTCCCTTATCTCACATCTTGTAATACGCCTGTGCAGGCATTATTACTCCCGTTTTCCAGCTAAGGAAACCAAGGCTTATAGAAAGTTAAATAATAGTGAAATGAAGACAGTTACAAACATTTTTAACCTTCATTTTCATCTCTTCAGTTAACCGGGTTCAAAAGCTCATTTTTCATTGTACAAACATTTATACTGCCATCTTTATTCCAGAACTGGGACTCCACCCTTTGTTGTTGTTGTTCTTAGATGCCCTTGAGTCAGTTCCGACTCAAAGTGACCCAGTGTACAACAGAATGAAACACTGCTTGGTCCTGTGCCATCCTCATGATCATTGTTACACTTAAGCCCATTGTGGCCACTGCGTCAGTCCATCTCACTGAGGGTCATCCTCTTTGTCACTGACCCTCTACCAAGCATGATGCCCTTCTGCAGGGACTGGTCCCTCCTAATAACATGTCCAAAGTGTGTGAGACCAATCCCACCATCCTTGCTTCTAAGGAGCATTCTGGCTGTACTTCTAAGACAGATTAATTTGTTCTTCTGGCAGCTTATGGTATATTCAATATTCTTTGTGAACACCGTATTTCAAAGGCATCAATTATTCTTTGGTCTTCCTTATTCAATATCCTGCTTTCATATGTATATGAGGCAATTGAAAACACGATGACTTGGGTCAGGCACACCTTAGTCCTTAAAGTGACATCTTTGCTTTTTAACACTTAAAAGATTTTTTGCAGCAGATTTTCCCAATGCAGTGGGTCATTTGATTTCTTGATTGTTGCTTCCATAGGCGTTGATTGTGGATCCAAGCAAAATGAAATCCTAGGACAGCTTCCGTCTTTTCTCTGTGTATCATGATGTTTCTTCTTGGTCCAGTTGTATTTTCATTTTCTTTATGTTGAGATGTAATCCATACTGAAGGCTGTGGTCTTTGATCTTCATCAGTAAGTGCTGCAAGTCCTCTTCACTTTCAGCAAGCAAGGTTGTGTTAGCTGCATAACGCAGGTTGTTAATGAGTCTTGCTTCAATCCTGATGCCACGTTCTTCTTCAAATAGTCCAGCTTCTCGATTATTTGCTCAGCATATAGATTGAATAAGTATCATGAAAGGATACAACCCTGAGACACACCTGTCCTGATTTTAAACCACGCAGTATCCCCTTGTTCTCTTTGAATGACTGCCTCTTGGTCTACGTACAGGTTCCTCATGAGCACAATTAAGTGTTATGGAATTCCCATTCTTCGCAATGTTATCCATAATTTGTTATGTTCCACAGAGTCAAATGGCCTTTGCATAGTCAATGAAACACAAGTAGACATCTTTCTGGTATTCTCTGCTTTCATCCAAGATCCATCTGACATCAGCAATGATATCCCTATTTCCACGTCATCTTCTGAATCCAGCTTGAATTTCTGGCAGTTCCCTGTCAGTGTACTGCTGCACCCGCTTTTGAATGATCTTCAGCAAAGTTATACTTGTGTGTGATACTAATGATATTTGATAATTTTCACATTCTGTTGGATCACCTTTCTTTGGAATGGGCACAAATACAGTTCTTTTCCAGTTGGTTGGCCAGGTAGGCGTCTTCCAAATTTCTTGGCATAGACAAATGAGCACCTCTAGTGCCACCTTCATCTGATCTGTTTGTTGAAATATCTTAATTGGTATTCTGTCAATTCCTAGAGCCTAGTTTTTTGCCAGTGCCTTCAGTGCAGCTTGGACTTCTTCCTTCACATTACACATATTTATCAATTTCTATGTTCCCTTGAGTTTTTTTTTTTTTAACAGCTCTATTGAGATATAATTTCCATTCCAAAAAAGTCATCCATAATAACTACAATTTAGTCATTTTTATTAACTTTATGTTGTCATTAGGTGCCGTCAAGCTGACTCCGACTCGTAGCAACCCTAGGTACAACTGAACGGAACACTGCCCAGTCCTGAGCCAGCCTCATAATCGTTGTTAAGTTTGAGCCCATTTTTGCAGCCACCATGTCAGTCCATCTCATTGAGGGTTTCCTTTTTCGCTGACCCTCTACTTTACTAAGCATGATGTCCTTTTCCAGGCACTGGTCCCTCCTGATAACATGTCCAAAGTATATGAGATGAAGTCTCACCATCCTTGCTTCTAAGGAGCATTCTGGCTGTACTTCTTCCAAGACAAATTTGTTCGTTCTTTTGACAGTCCATGGTATATTCAATCTTAATTTTATAGAGTTGTGCAACCATTACTACAATCCAGTTTTAGAGCAATTCCGTCATCCCAAAAATTTCCCCCATGCCCATATGCAGTCAATCATCCATCCCCAGCCCCAGAAACCACTGATCTGCTTTCTGTCTGTATAGGTTTCCATTTCTGGATACTTCCTATAAATGGAATCATACAATAGTTTTTTCAGTAATCATGTTATTGAGGTTCTTCCATGTTGTAGCATGTATCAGTAGTGGGTTCCTTTTTATTGTATGGATATGACACGTTTTGTTTATCCATTCACAAGTTGATAAGTGTTTGAATTGATTTCCATATTTGCCTGTTATGAAAAGTGTTATTATGAAATTCATGTACAAGTCTTTGTGTGGACATAACATTTTCATTTATCTTCATTAAATACCTGAAAGTGAATTGCTGGGTCATATCATATAGTTTAAGTTTGGAGCCCTGGTGGCATAGTGGTTAAGAGCTTGGCTGCTAACCAAAAGGTCTGCAGTCCAAATCTACCAGCTGCTCCTTGGAAACCCTGTGGGGCAGTCCTTCTCTATCCTAGAGGACTGCTATGAGTTGGAATCGACTCAACAGCAACAGGTTTATAGTAAGTTTATGTTTAACTTTTAAAGAAACTGTCAGATAGTTTTCCAAAGTGTCTGTACCATTTTACATTGCCATCAGCCGTGTACGAAGTTTTATTTTCTTCACATCCTCTCCAGCCTGGATATCATTTGTCTTTTTTATTATAGCTATCCAGTGAATATGTAATGATATTTCATTTTGGTTTTAATTTGCATTGCTCTAATGGCTACTGATGTTGAGCCTCTTTTCATGTTCTATTAGCTATTAGTGTATCTTCTTTTGTGAAATGTCTATTCAAATCTTTTGCTCATTTTTAAATTGGCTCATTTGTCATCTTATTATTGGGTTACAAGAGTTCCTTATATATTCTGGGTACAATTATTTTACCGGAAATATGGTTTGCCAACATTTTCTCCCAGTCTGTGACTTATCTTCTCATGATGTCCTTTAAAGTGTGTGAGTTTTTAATTTCGATGAAGATCAATTTATCAGTTTGTCTTTTTATGGATCATGCTTTCGTTGTAGTATTTAAGAACAAATATTTTTTCCCTATGTTTTCTTCTAGCAATTTTACAGTTTTAGCTCTTACATTTAGGTTTATGATTTGATTTAATTTTTTGTATATATAAAGTAAGTGT